GTTTTTAAAGACCAAAATAAATAAACGACTAAGAAAGCTCTCTGCAGGGAGAACAGCATGGAGCTGACTGTTTGTTTCTCATCATCTATCTTCTTCCTCACCTCAAAGATCTCACTGTCCTGCGTTCCTGCCAGGATCCGGTCGGCTCGCCAGCAGACGCTGCGAATAGACAGACCTGGAGGAGGAAGAGGAGGAACAAAAGGATCAGACCAGCAGGAAAGCGATGTCAAAATATCTGGAGAAACAGCTGCAACATAAACCAACAGTAGTTAAAAGGCTTTAAAGTAAAAGAAAAAACAGGAAGAATGAGAAAGGGGGATGAACAGACAAATGTATAAAAATAAGGCATGCTGGAGGGAGAATGGAGGGGAGCAGGGCAGGAAAGAGGAGAAAATCAAAAAAATAGGAAGAGAGAAAGTTTGGGGAGGAAAGAAAACAGTGAGCAAAGAAAAAGATGCAGATAAAAATCAGAAATTATGGTAGAAGAAGAAAAATGGTAAAATAAAATACAGGACACAGAGTTAGAGAGTTTTAGTTAAAGAGAGAAGCCCTAAAAATGGGAAGAGCTGGACGAAGGCAAACGTACAGCAAGTGAATTCATACTGATCAAATGCAACAGGAAAGTCGAGAAAACACAGAGCTCGGCAGGAAACCAGAGAAACAGTGGTGACCAGTGATTAATGATGAGGGGGCATTTCTCATTGGCTCTGCAGCCCTGGTTAACTCCAGGTAATGAGCAGGAAACTGTGTGGGCCATTAGACCGACCTCCTTCCTGCTCCGCACTGGGATTTACAACCAGGATAGAAAACCACAGTGGACGAAAAGCCACATCTAATATGTCAGGAACTGGCCTTATGCTGCATTCACATCCTGTCAGAGAGAATGTAATTTCTTGTTTTCCCACTTGTGAATCTCATTCACACCAACATCCAGGTTGTAACTGCAGCTGGGAAAGTCACATCTGTCTGAAAGCTCTGATGTGTCTGACTTGATGCTAAAAAGTATGAAAGTGCTGCAAAATTAAAGGTAATTAAACTGTGACATTTACTGGACAGAGCTCTACTGAACGAACGCAGTATTTTTACTGCAAAGTAGGAAGACTTTATCTTTTCTGAAGGGGGGGCTACACACACACACACACAGAGAAAAACCGTGTGTGAGAGCAGGAACATACATTGACTCTATGCCAAGCCACTGTTCCTCAGACTCCAAATGTAATTAGCAGGGCTGAGCGCCCCAGTTCGAGCATGTGCTGCCGCTGACGTTTCCTCTAGTGCTGTGAGCCACCTCTCTCCGGAGGCTCACGAGGACGAGGCAAACTGAAAATAAGTGGGAAACACAGGTTCTGCAGTGTCAGAGAGGTGAGGAAGGGTTTGTGATGTGTGGCACAAGTGTTAACAGCAGCCAAGAGGAAAAGTTCAACTTAACCCATCTCGTTCCAAACTCCCAGAGGAGAGACGTGTGATGCTAAAAAAAGCATCTCACCTTTCTCTCATTTTATTCTGACGTCCGCTCCTGAGAAAAAACGCTGTGATTTGTTCAATGTCGTTCATCATCCATCTCAGTCAGCTTTTTCCTGTGGAACATCACTGTGCTCGGTCAGGTTTCAGCCTCTCGAGGCTGCTCTCAGCAGGACTCTCAAAGTCACTGGGACACTAATGGAAAATGTGCACGTTTTCTCTTGTGTGAACAGGTGGAAGCTTCAACAGTTCCTGCACATACTGAGTCCATTCAGAGTCTCCTGAGGCCGAGCTGACGTGTGGCTCTGCTTTAGATTCCTCAGTCCAAACTCTGTAAATGTCATGTTTCCCTTCCTGATATTCTGGTTTCTGCTGCACGTACCTTTGTATCCCTGCTCAGCCTCTCGCAGATCGATCTTGGTGATCGGTTTAAAATCGACGTCCCACAGTCGGACGCAGCCATCTCTGCCTCCTGTGGCAAATCCCTCCTCACAGGAATACATGCTGAAGATGCCAGCCTGCGCACACACACACACACACACACACACACACACACACACACACACACACACACAAACAC